GTTGAAAGGATTTTCATAAAGGGGGAAGAAGCAGCTGACTGGCCGCTCAATATCTATTAGTTTCTTGCTTAAAGTTCAACATATTCAGTGCGAAAAATAGAATTCGTTTTTCATGATTCATTTTTTTCAGCAGTCAGCTCAGTACAGAGTAATCTTCTTTCTAATCCATTAGTACCTTGGCGCGATTCTGTATATTGGCTGTTAGACTGTACGCTATCTTGATGACTTTAATGCGCTCCTCTGTTGTTGTTGATCCACGTCGGATGCTGTTATCTTGATAACCGACGAAAAGTCTTCCGCGAGGTTCATACCTAGAGTTATTGATGGTTACTATCTCAATTAGATGAGTGCTGAAAGTATTTACGAATCGACAACAGAAGAGATATGGATTTTATAACAGAAGAGTAGACTTCTCAAGTCCTTTTCAGAGCAAACGAATCGACCAAAAGCAGTAGCTGACAAACCGATCCAGCTGCCTACTAGAAGACCGTAATTTGCTGTCAATATATCTTACCTCCACCGTCGCATCGTTGCGTCATTGATCGTCACTGATGTTTATCCTGCGTCAATATCGGTTGTTGATATCGCTGTTGTAGTTGAGGTTGAAGAGGCTCCTTGTCGACGTCGTTGTGGTAGTTCACGTTGAAGTGGTTAGTGTCGCGGTGATAAATCATTCAGCTGAATTCCATCTTCACACAGGCTCCCAATGTAATGGCTCTCATCACATTTTGAGATAATCCTACACGTTTTAAAGAGTCTTTTAGTACAAATACTCTTTAAAGCAATATTTTCTCGTCTCTTCAGGTTCCGATAGCCCCTCGCAAGCAACACGATCATTCACAACAACCGCAGTCACTACGAGCAACACAAATACCAAAACTACAACACTTAACGACCCCACAAAAACCACCTTCATTTCCACTCCAACATCGAGGTCCACGACCACCATCGCCCGAACTACTTGGACCGCAATCATAACATCCACGCCGACAACTATCACCACGCGGACCACTTTAATTCCAGAAACGTCGTCGACGGTGACCATCACACTAACCACTACAACCTCAACTGCAAAACCGACATCGATCCCCAGCAGCAGAGGAACCACCACCTCCACGTCGTGTAGTGCAACCAGTACTATAGCTACCACTTCCACCTCCACTACAACGGCGACGTCGAAAACCGGCACTACACCAAACACCTCGACCTCATCTACAACAACCACGTCAACGACTACCTCAACATCGACAACCATCACCACGCCAACCACTACGACATCAACTACAACAACCACTAAGACCTCAACTGCAACACCGACGTCCACAACCAGTACTATAGCTACCACTTCGACCTCCACTACAACGGCGACGTCGAAAACCGGCACTACACCAAACACCTCGACCTCATCTACAACAACCACGTCAACGACTACCTCAACGTCGACAACCATCACCACGCCAACCACTACTACCACAGCTACCGCTTCGACCTCAACTACAACAGCGACGTGGACAACCAGTACTACAGCTACCACTTCGACCTCAACTGCAACACCGACCACTACGACCACAGCTACCACTTCGACCTCAAGTACAACAGCGACCTGGACAACCAGTACTGCAGCTACGACTTCGACCTCAACTATGACTGCAACGTCAACCACCAGCACTACAGCTACCACTTCGACCTCAACTACAACGGCGACCACTACTACTACCGCTAGCACATGGACCTCAACTACAACAGCGACGTCGACAACCAGTACTATAGCTACGACTTCGACCTCAACTATGACTGCAACGTCAACCACTAGCACTACAGCTACCACCTCGACCTCAGCTACAACGGTGACCTCGACTACTACCAGTACGGCCACAACTTCGACCTCAACTACAACAGCGACGTCGACCACTAGCACTACAGCTACCACTTCGACCTCAACTAAAACAGCGCACACTAATACCACAACTACAACTACGACCTCAAGAACAACCGCGTCGTCGACAACCAGTACTACCGCTACCACTTCGACCTCAACTACAACAGCAACGTCGACAACCAGCACTACAGCTACAACTTCGACCTCAGGTACGACGGTGACCTCGACTACTACTACCACGGCTACCACTACAACCTCAACTACAACAGCAACGTCGACAACTACCAATACAGCTACCACCTCGACCTCAGCTAAACCAGCAGCCACTACTAGCACAGCTACGACTTCGACCTCAACTACCACGGCGACGTCGACAACCAGTACTACAGCATCCACCTCGATATCCTCTAAAACCCACACGTCGACCACTACCACCACAACAACAACTATCACCTCAACTACGACCGCGACAACCAGCACTACGACAACCAGCACTACAGCTAGCACTTTGGCCTCAACTACAACATCAGCGTCGACAACCAGCACTACAGGTACCACTCCGACCTCAACTGCAACACCGACCACTACAACCACAGCTACCACTTCGACGTCAACTACAACAGCCACCACTACTACCACTTCGACCTCCACTACAACGGCGACGTCGAAAATCAGCACTACACCAAACACCTCGACCTCATCCACAACCGCCACGTCAACGACTGCCTCAACGTCGACAACCATCACCACGCCAACCACTTCGACCTCAACTACAACACCGACGTCAATAATCAGCACAACAGCATCCACCTCAATATCATCTAAAACCCACACGTCGACCACTACCACCACAACAACAACTATCACCTCAACTACGACCGCGACAACCAGCATTACGACAACCAGCACTACAGCTACCACTTTGGCCTCAACTACAACATCAGCGTCGACAACCAGCACTACAGGTACCACTTCGACCTCAACTGCAACACCGACCACTACAACCACAGCTACCACTTCGACGTCAAGTACAACAGCGACGTCGACAACCAGTACTACAGCCACAACGTCGACCTCAGGTACGACGGTGACCTCGACTACTACTAGTACGGCTACTACTTCAACCTCAACTACAACAGCAACCTCGACAACTACCACTACAGCTACCACTTCGACCTCAACTACAACAGCGACGTCGACAACCAGTAATACAGCTACGACTTCGACCTCAACTACAACAGCGACCGCCGGTACCAAAGCTACAACTACGGCCTCAAGTACAACAGCGACGTCGACAACCAGTACTATAGCTACGACTTCGACCTCAACTATGACTGCAACGTCAACCACCAGCACTACAGCTACCACTTCGACCTCAACTACAACGGCGACCACTACTACCACCGTTACCACTTGGACCTCAACTACA